CAAATAAAGATAGAGGCAAGACCTCACCTCAACCTGCAAAGGTTGAAATTTAAAAAAAAAAAAAAAAAAAAAAAAAAGAATTGAATATTATATTAATATAATTATAAAATCTTAAAAATATTTTTAAATATTTAAATAATTTATTTTTTGATTATAAAATATTATATTAAACTAATTAATCACATGCTATTGTAGTTCAAAGTTCTTCTATATTCATTATTTTTCTCAAGAAAGATAGATTTAAGGTCAAATTAATCACTTTATTTTAGAGATTCATTATTATTCTTAAAAAAATTCTTTTGTACTCTAAAAAAAATTAAATATCATATTAATTGCAATAAATAATTTACTGTTATCTTTTTTTAGATAATAGGCTAAAGATCTATTAATCATGTTATTACAAAGATTTTTATTATTTACAATAAAAATATTAAACATTATATTAATATCATTATAATACAATTATTAATTATAGAAATATATTGTCGAATACCTTGTATATTAGTAATTGATACTCTTATTTATTATATTATTTATTACATAATGTAATAAATAATAAATAGAAGTGATAATTACTGTTATGCAGAGTATTTAATAATTATCGATATTTGACAATTACTAATATGTATTAAGGTATTCAATAATATTGAATTAGAATAATATTCATAAAATTGGTATTTTGGTATTCAATATATTTAGATTTTATTGTTTTCTTCTGTACTACTCAAATTTTTTTTTTTTTTTTTTACTTTATACAAATGCTATTGGCTTAACTTTTATTAATTTTATAAATTTTGGAAGTAATACATATTGTGAGAGTACAACTAGCAACATATACAATTTTAGGTTGTCTATTTTAAGTAGTCTGCCTGAAGGTTCTACACTAGCTACTATACCTGAAATCTTTTAGAAGATTCTCTATTTAAACTCTCTAGCCCTTCTCACTTATTGTAACTATTACTCTTTATAGTTAATCATAACCCTGTGCTACTCCACTTCAGAAGGTATCCAAGCTAATATTAGTTATAAACTTTATTGTTATAGGCTTAGGTCTTATTTAAATAAGTCCTACTTCAATACTCTCTAACAAATAGATGTCATAATACCCAACTATGCTATGCTATATCCCAATTTAGCTTGCATATATCCTTATTTGATGTTCATATAAACCTAGTTCTAGCTATAGCCCTCTACCAGTTTAGACTTCTAAATGTTTTATAAGGTAGATCTTCTCAATCTAGTTAGCTACTAAGCCAAGTTAGTATTGCCACTAAATACAAGGTATCAGACTGTATTACACCACAGACTTACTTGTACCTACTCAATTTATACTCAGAAATCTTTGCTGAATTAAGTGTTAACTGGCATAACCATTAAAATTCATACTACTTCACCTAACTCAAAATTTCTACTATGCAGGTCCTCTGCTTGTAGATCTTATCTTGATTTATTTTTGTAACATAACTCTAATATTCTGTCACATTTCCAATATCTGAACAATATTTGTGCAATATGATTTATAGAGTTACAACTCCAGAAATAAACAGAGTTTACTGTAAGTTAGGTACAGATGTCTAGATAATTATTCAATTCTGTTGATAGTGGGATTTGAACTCTAGACCTCTTGTATAGCAATATGACAACCTATCTACTACACTAGATCACTGGACCTTTTGTACTCAAATTAATTTTTGAATATTATACAAATTAAATGCATATTAATATTAATTATAGAAATATTAAATAATTACCTTTTGCTAAGATGAATAAATTGTTTCATCATGTGATAAAGAAGCCTTTTCTTTAAAATATTCTGTATATATTACATTATAATAAATAAAATTTAATAATTTTCATTAAGAAAATACGTTAATTAATAGCAATAATAAAGTTCAAAGAAATTAGCTTATTTGTTCTGTTGTCTATCACCCTCAAGTTTGCTTCAAAATTCTAGCTTTATGTTTATTTTAACACAAAGTTATTTGATTTTATGCTTTGTCTTAGAAGATATTTTAGTTAATAATATGATAGAATTTTTAAAGAATTTTGTATATAACTTCGAAGAACTCTTGTACTCAAAATATTACTATATTAGGAAAATGTTTATATTTTCTAAAAGATATTTGTATGTTTTTTGTATTTTATGTTTGTAATGAGAAAGAAATTTATGTGTTCTGGAGAGAAGTGATTTAACGTGTTCTGGAGAGAAGTTGTTTTTTGTTATTGTTTACATGTCTTTTAAATATTATTAGGAATTTGAACTCTGATCATTGAATTAATTAGTGATCGAAACTACAGTATAATCTAGAGTTTTGTTAAATTTTATTTTAACTCTGATTTAACTCCAATTATTGAATAATCAGTGATCGATTCTACAGTATAGCCTAAAGCTTTATTTTGTCTAAGATATTTGCAAAAAATATATTTAAGACAACTATTCGCACCATGTATTTTTTTACTAAAATCTTTAAAAAATATTAATAAAGAAATAATAATACAATCAAAATTTTATTGTCTAAATGAGTATTATGTTATTGCAATAAATGTAAAGGGAAAAAATATGTTAATCCTTGAACAAAACAAGATCATATAGCTTTACCTGATATTGGTACATCAAGTACAAATATCAAAAAATTGCTTCAAAATATGAAGAACCTCTTCCTAAATTTTTGAGTGAAAGTTCTAAAGATAGTGATTCCAAAAACAATGGTTCCGAAGACAATGATTCTGAAAACAATGATTTGAAAAATAATGATTTCGAAGACAATAATTCTGAAGATAATGATTCTAAAAACAATAATTCTAAAAACAGTAATTTTGAAAACAGTGATTCTGAAAACAGTGATTCTGAAGAGAATTATTCTGAAGAAAATAATTCTGAAGAAAATAATTCTGAAAGCAATCAAAGTAAAGGATTAAAAAGCGAAAATAAAAATACAACTAGTAATACAAATGAAGATAATTTGGTATTTGGTACTGATATAATAGATTTATTTCTTAAAGATGACTTTGATATACAAACACCTACCTCAAGAAGATTAGCAAAAGGAAAATTTAAAGCATCTATAGATGATGATGAAGAGATGATTATTGAACCAACTACAGAAAAAAAGAATATATTTGACATTTATAACTTATCTGATGAAGACGATATAATAATAATTAGAGAAGATAATTATTCTTCTTCAAGTAGTTTTTCAAATAATTCTTTAAATAATTCTTCAAATGAATCTTTAAGTGATTCGTAAGAAAGTCATGATCCTGTAAACTTTATTCTACTGGAAATCGATCTTGAAATTTTTGAACTACCATTTGACATTAATAACAATCGTCCAAATGATTGAATTACTTTATGGATAATGAAATATCAACAACATTACAATATTCCTGATACTAGTATAGAATTATTAATTAAATTTCTTTAGCATTTACTTTTGTATTTTAAAATTAATAAAGCTGATAGGCTACTAACTTCTATGTATACTGCGAAATCATTTTTAGGGATTTTAACCAAATATAGAAATTATACTATATGTCTGAAGTATCATAAGCTCTATAACCTATCAGTAATTAAAAACCATATTCAAGACAATAAGCTAGCAAGTATGAAGTATACAAATATAGAATATTTCTATTATTGAAATAAATTACAACAATCAGCATGCAATAAACTATTAGCAGTAAAGCTTAAAACAATAGATAGTATCTTATTACAATCATTGAAAATTTATTCAGTTGGAAGTATAAAACAACAGCTCTATATGATATATCAGAGAGCTGGCTTTGAAAATATATTGTGGCATTCAGTAATAAAAATATTTTAAATAGAATTTTTTCTAACATATATGAAGGAAATATTTGGAAAAATTTCGCTATAAATCCAGAAGATCCTGCACCATTTTTTACAAATAATACATTTGATAGTGTTATGTTGGTTTGATTTCTTTAACAAGACCAACTAACTAGAGAGACTAATAACAGTGAATACTTCATATAACGTCCTTGTTACTATATTTTGTCAAAGTCTTTAGAGCATTTTTTCAAAACTTAACAAAGAAGATTTAGGGTAATTTGCAATTATGAAAGAGGCAACAATTAAAGATATATGAAGATATCAA